TTGCTGATTTAATGTTCCAGTGTGCAAAGTCTGGCCCTGTTGCAGGGGGTGGAGGCTGGTGGGGAGCTGTGCATTACGTGGTTCAGTGTTGTGGGGCCACCAAGGTCGGTGTAAATTTCTGGCATTACAGGCACTGCAAAGTCAGAGTCCTCACCCTCATTCCATAGTTCTCCATCAGCTGACTGAAATAGTCTGAGCCTTCTGTAAGTGGAGCAATGTGACAAGGGTTAAAGTGCTCAAATGCTTGTCTTTTGAGCACTTTAACCCTTGTCACTTGTCTGTTACCCCAGCCCTACATCCCAGAAATTTAATATGAGATATCACCTCTGACTGCTGGTGTTGCCGGGTCTATCCAACACCCTGCAGTGCACCAAGCCCCCTGCAGCACGCTGCTTGCTCAGAAAACAGAGCTCTCAGGAGTTTTCCCCACCTGGGCTGTGGGAGGAAGCAGGATATGGCAGAGCTGGGCATCAAAAATAAGGAGCTGCAGAGCTGTTCTTGATCGTGGTTCCCTGTGGCAGAGACCTCAGGGAGTTTCAGTGATTCAATGAAGAGGAAGAGCAGGAAGATGAGAGGGCATCTCCAGGAGGGAAGCACACAATGTCATGGGCACCAGTCCCTGCTCCTCAGCTGAGGCTATTTTGTGCATTCATTGGTAAAAGTGCAGGGTAGTCCTGGAGGCTGACTGGTTCAGACACAACTTAAAAGCCTTGCTGGGGAGTAGCTGTAGTAGAAGCAAGTAAAATCCAACACCTGTGCTGCAATCCATAGAGCTGGCTTTGCATCTGGAGAAAATATTTAAACAATGTTCTCAGGTGAATGAGGGGCAGCTGGGCCTGTCCATCTATGAGCTCTGCTTCCTGATGTGGCAAGTGAGTTATACCTGACAGGTGTCGTCAGGTGTCATCCTTTTGTGTGTGTGTAAATCAGAAAGTGGAAGGCCTTGCCTTTCACCTGACATGGCCCCAGTTTTGAAATCTAGTGCTGGAGAGAGACTTATTTTCAGGACAGAAAATTGTGGTTTACTGTTTTATAAGTCTGATTCTGTTTATAGCCCTTTTCTTGTTCTGTTCAACCTAGTGAAACAGATTTCCATCCGGAGTAAATAATGTAACTGTTTCCTCCAGTGGAACTGTGATGATTCACACCAGCTTGAGTTTGGTTCCACTAACCTTAACTCCACAATGCAATCAACTCTAACATAATTGCACTCTCATACCCATGTTTCACATCTGTGAGACTACTGCAGCAATTTTATATAACCTGGGATAAGTTCAAACCTGATAAAACTTCTCTAAGATTCACCCAGCTTCTGCTGGGGATGGAGAAGATTGGGATTTGATAAATCTTCATTTCCATATGATTCAAACTTCCTGAATGTGTAGGGTTTTTGGTGGCACGGTGGGTACCTGATGGCTCTTTGCTCAGGAGCCCTGGTGGCACTGGTGGCTTAGTGGGGTGCCCAGGTGCTGGCACCACTACTCCAGTGAGCAGCTCACTGGGAGGGCTGTGGTGCTGCTCTCTGTCTGAGCTGCACTGGAGACAGCTGAGTGGAAGACAGGTTGGAAACAGCCCAGCACCTGCATCCTTTCCTTTGGTGTGATGCTTTGGTGCCGTGGTTAAAATGCAAGGATTTCTGGACAGGGGTTGTGCAGAAACATGGAAATTCACCCTGTGCTGAGCAGAATAAGACAGCTGGAGCTGACGGGGGGTGATGGGGAACCACAGTGGTTCCTGGGCGTGGGTTGGACTGCACTGATCAGTTCCTTTCATTGAAAGCCCTGAGTCATTAGACAAGAAGGGATATGAAAGAAGGAGGAAGTGAATTTACATTACGGCAGTGGATATTTCCTTGCCTTATCATCTGGTTCCTTCATCCACCTCAAGGTCCAGTTGTTCATCACACAGCCCTTTAACTGAATGCTCTCTCTTGCCACATCCTTTTCTTGACGGCTTTGTTGTACAGTGAGGATGTACAATGAATCCTTCTGTGGCTGCTGCAGTGACTGTGGCCAAGAACCCATGCCATGGCCCTCTCACCTCCAGGAAGGATTAGAGGGAGCAGGAAAGAGGCAATGAGCCACAGTAAATTGAGACTGTGATGTACTACAGAGCTTTCTTCTCTAAATGCCCTCCCTTTGCTGAGGAAGGCAAAGTGGTTTGGTGATGGATTTCATGGAAAGGGACACCTGAGAGCAACAGCTATTTGGGAAGAGAGGTGTGCTTTATGGAGAGATTGTTTTTGTTTAAGCTTGCTTGGATGTCAAGATGACAGCTGTGTAGAGATTGTGTGGACAAATGAAGTGAGAGCTAATGCTTGGCTAGAGCAAGGCAAGCTTCCCAGGGGGTATGGGTTTGCAGAACTACATGAAATCAGATTTCAGAGATCAGCCATGCTGAAAAGGTATTGACTGAAGATAAAACACAAGTACTTACCTGCTTGTTTTCTGCAGTGCTTTATTGCTCACTTTTGTTTGGCTTTGCACTAAGTAAAGAGATCTTTGTATTCTCTCTCAGTCAGGTCTACCCTTTGCAGGCCTGCAGAGGTCATCACTCTTTCCTTACACAGGAAAGGCTGAATTACACAGAAGACAAGGCTTCATATTCTGAGTGTGCCAACAAACAACATTTTTCATGGTTTGGCCACACCTGCTGTGGACTGATGTGACTCCCATCATCTTTTGAAGGATTTTTCCCCCATTTTCCGTTATGGGGTGAGAGAAGAAATGAGGCCAAAGAAATGATGTGACCAAGTATTACCTGCTGTACTGTCCCTGGCAGTGTAGGGGAATCATCTGGTTCCTCATCCACATTCCTGACCATGGACAGATGCTGCAAAGGGAGCTTTTTCTGTGGGGGGCAGACTCTTCTGTGCCATGGAGGTTCTGGAGGTTCTAAAGTTGATTTAAATGAAAATCCAAAGGTCAGGAATTTTCAAGAGGACCCCAGGGTGATCTTCTGAGGAACCTTTCCTTAATGTCTCCACAGGTATGTGGAGACTGTGGCTGCTAGCCATGGACTACTAAAGCTGACAGAGGCTTAGAATGTGAGATGTGCTGGCATCATTCCCAGCTGTGAGAAGGCAAAGTGGTGGCTTGGAGTGGTATCAGCAAAATCCTGCCATTGGTGGCAAAGCTGGAGGATGGCTCAAGGTCTTTTCACCTTCTTCCCTGTGCTACTTGGCTCTGCTTTCCCTGGGACCAAAAGAGTGGTTATGAGGACTGCACCACAGGGCAGAATCTTGCTTTGTGTGTGGAGGGAGGGGGAAGTCTCTATGGCAGCCTGGACCATGAGACTTCTCACATCGGGGTTGCTACACAGTGAGAGCTACAGAGTGTAATGGCTATCCTATTAGACTGCTAATCCTTGACATGCTCTCCTGGGAAGTGCAAGATCCAGCCCATGTTTCTGGATACCCTCTGAATCCCCTCAGAGCTGAGAAGAAGAGGGTCATGACTCCATTTCCCTTGAAGTCAAAGGAAAATTCCTGCTGACCCCAGTAATTACAGATCAAGTACTTCTTCATTCTGTCCCTGCAATCAGGCCTTCCATCTGTTTCTCTGTAAAAAGCATCAACCACCTCAGAAAATCCTATTCCCACTCTTGGCAGCTGGGGTCATGCAGGACTCATTGAAGAAAGTAAATATAGGATGTGGGCATGCCTGGCAGTGACGGCTTTCTTGTGGTGCCAGCAGGCTCTCTGCCAGGTAATGCTGAACTCCTGGTGAGAGATTCTCAGAGCACCTTTGGGATGTGTACAGAAGAGTTCTGTGGTGAGATGAAATATTTAAAACCACTTTGGGTTGAAGCGAGGTGGGAGAGCAGCAGCCTCTTTAATCTGTGCGCAGCTTTAAGACTGCATGTGAATCATTGATGAGGAGGGAAGAGTGTTTCTAAAGCTCTGGCAGGTCATTAAACCTGGTGATGGACTCATTAAACACGGAGCTGCGTGGAAAGCCCTGGACAAAAGTAGTGGAGTATTTCACATCTATTGCCCTGTGGAGTGCCAGCACTTTTTACCTGTGACTTTCAGGGTATTGTTGCAGGGTATTTTATTAATAAAGGCAAAAGTCTTAGGCCAGTGGATCATGTTACATAACAGAAAATGTGCAAAAAGCTTTTTGATCTGTCAGGCAAAAACATAAGAAGACTCAGTAGTTGGAATTCAGGACTCATGGTGTTTCTAAACATCTGATTGCACTGCAGTTGGGTAAATCACCACTGCCAAATCTTTTATCTGGGACTTAATTGGGCTGGGGAAGGTGGGGGAGTGTTGCAGTGTTAGTATTCCCATGGCTTCAGTGGAAGAGAAGTAGAAAATGACACGTTTCCAAGTGGTGTCCTAAAATCCATGTGTGCTCACAGTTTCTGCTGGCCTCAGTGCCCACACCACAGTGCTGTTTGACCTCTACTGTACCTGCTGGTCTGTGCCTCAGGCTTCCACTGACCCACCTGCAAAGACTGCACATGCTGTTTGATGGGCTGGATAATTTTCTGGCCATGGCAATGATAAATGCAGTGTCACATGACCTCTTCAAATGGGTTGAATTTTGTTCTCTTTGGAGAGAATTTTGCTTTTCAGCAAAACTGTGGTGAAGTGTTGGCCATAGATTTGAGTAAACCTGGACTTGCTTACAGGCCCTGTACTTAATTTCTGATTGTTAAGTACACAGATCTAGATACTTGAATGTATTGCCCTCTTGGCTTTGGATGGGTTTGCAGGATTTGAACAACATCCCTGATTGCTGTACATTTGCATAGCAGTGTTCCAAAGCACTGTGCAAATGTTACACAGAGGAGATGATATCTGCCTTCCTCAGGGGATGGACACTGTCCCTCACCTGGCAAACAATCAGCAAGTGACCTTTTCTGCAGAAAGCTGCAGCTGTCTGCCCTTGCTTCTGTGGCCCTCAGGAGAGAGTGGGAACAGCTGCAGAGGAAAAGAACCTTCAAATTTGCAATGGGTAGGAGGAGCAAGAGGTTAGCAATGTGGAGGATGCTTCTGGAGTGAGAACTCCGAGTTCCTCTTCCCTGTCTCTCTTGGTCTGGAGGAGAATGAAAGAAGCTGGAGGCAACTTAGAGGAAGGACTTGTGGCAGAAGTGCGGGGATTTCACACTCAGATGAGGCCTTAAGGGTCGGGTAAGTCCATGCATTGCTTGAATCCATAAGTGGTGGCAGGGTGGTGAAAGAGCTCCATTCCCCTTGCGGGGTGGGATAGCTGCATGTTGGTGTTTATAGCTTCTTCTTCAAGTTAGGTTGGGACATCTTACTTCTAAATACAATTGCTTCTGGCAGTGTGGAGAGCTGATGCTACTTAATATTGCTCAGGAATTCAGAAGGGGAAGTGGAAAATAATTAAATATGAAGTTCTGCTGCTGCTGCACATAAAGTTATCAAAGCTGTTCTGGTTTTGTCCTCAACTAAACAGTAATTGAGTTGTTCCTTTTGCTTTTTCTTTTTTGTTCATTGCTTGAAACAAATAAGCTCTCCCTTAAATGAGCTATTTCCAGAAATCCTGTAAGCAGTGTGCCCATTGGAGGTGGGAAGAACTGTATGTGTGAGGGTTTGGGAATGCACAATTGGATATAAGGAGTGCAGTGGGAAAGAACAAATGAATTCTGTCACTGTAAGTGAAGATTAAGCAGTGAAGAGAGTGTAGCTTCAGCTGGCACTCATTGCATGAACAGCTTGGATATTTCAATAATCAGTTTAAAGTTGAGTTTATCAGGCTCTTCAAGGTGTGTGGTTGCAGCTCAAAGCCATTGAAAGTCAAGAGAGATTATGATGGTGTGGAGTAAAAATGCATTAATGAGACTCCTCCACTCGTGTGAGGAGGAGACAGAGCTGGGGTTGTCAGGAGCAGTTTTCTGTTGCTTATGATCCTCAGCTCCTGTTCTCAAGTAGGAGCAGGAAATGTTGTTTATCTGTTGAAAGCTCAGACACTGCCTGAAGCTGAACCACCTCTGGACTCTCCTAGCAGTCTGTGGTTCTCCAGTCCCATTAAAGCATCTATTTTCTTTCCCTTCCAGTTAAACAAAGTGGCCTGTAGTGGACAGGCAGAGACAAGAGCTCATCCTTGTGCAGGTGTGCTCTGGCTGGTGGATGTCACTCCCTCTTAAGTCAGTGGGGCTGCAGGGATTTGCTCATGTGGCTGTGCTACCCTGGCCTTCAGACAGAAATCTGCCCAATTTTCTTCCTTCAGTGGGGCTGGACTACTGTGTAGTGTGTTTTGCAGTACTTCTGCTTGAGAAAGTCCATAGGCAATTACCTTGAGAAGAACTGTCCCCTGGGAATCTCTGCTTGGGGATACCCAGAGGCTGTGCTGCCTGTGGCACTCCTCTGCCTGTAATTACAGGCAGCAACTCCGTTAGATACTGCACTAAGAAATTAATCTTTATTTTCTGTTTAATCAAAAACATCTTGTTAGAACAGTTTGTTCCATTTTGGAGCTCTGTGGTGTGTGACCCCTCTGATTTCCAGCTCTCAGACTGGAGGGGATTCTGTCCCTTTTGGTTTCTCCAGTGTGTAGGCAGTCTTCAGCTGAGATTTTTGGCATCTAGCAAAGGGCAGCCTTGACCTTGACTACAGTCAGCTGTCCCCCAAGCAATTACTGCAGCTGCTCTCCTTTGCAGCCCATGGGGAGGTTGAGACTTGACCTAGAGAGAGGAGTGGTGCTTTGAGATCCAAATCTCTGCCATGGCTGGATGTAATGGTGTCAGCAGGGAATGTGCTTGCCTGGGAGTGTTTTTTGTGTTCGTGCTTGCCTTTTTACTCTGTACCAGAGGTTGGTGTGATCCTTCTGCTAGGCAGGTAAATGTGTATTTGCATAACACCTCTTACTGAGAGAGGACTGAACAGCCAAACTTCCATCCCATTGTCTCATGAAAGAAGAAAATTGTCTGTGTTCTCTTTCCCCTCTGGTGCACTTGATATTAGTCCATAATCATCTGTGTCTCTTTGTCTTACTACTTTCAGCAGATAAATGTAGCCTTTTTTTTTTCAAATCCAGTGGGACAGTAGAACATAGAGAGACAGGTGGAAGGGAAGTTCAGGGAGGAAATATCCCAAAGGAAGCTACCACTTTTTTCTGAAACTAAAGGACTGGAAAAAAATGCATTTGAAAAGGATGAAATTACTCAATATAGTTCATGTGGCTAGAGGATGAGGAAGGATGTGTGTGCACTTGCTGATTGTGAGCTGGGGAATGGCCTACAAAAGGTTGCTGAGAGCAGCAACATAAAATTAAGAAAAAGGGAAACTGTAAGCTGGAAAGAATAAAAATTTTCCTGATGTGAGATATTTAACAAGCTGTGGGTGATTTCCTTAAGGGAATGAATAAACTCTCCATTGCTGGGGCTTTTTAAAATAAACTGAATGAAATAATAAGAAATATACTCAAGGAACTAATCTTCTGTCAATTTGATGGATTAATGACCTAATTGGTCCTTTGGTCTCCTTCCATCTCTCATGCCTACTGTTCTGTGAGCAGCAGCTTCTAGTCATTAGGAATAAACTAGGTGAAAGGAATATGTTACTGGAAATACTAATTCACTTTCCACAATTTGGTCATTTTCCAGACCTCTTGGTCTTGATAAAGCTTTGATGCTGTAGGAGACAGAATGGGTGGGGGGCTCAGAGGCTGCAAAACCAAAACTTGCTTTTTGCTTTCCCTGCAGGGCGTTGAGTTGTTTCTGTCTCTTGGATAGGATATTTTTCAGAGACCTGGCTATTCTTTCAAAGCTATGGCAATTCATTGTCTCTTCTACATCTGTAGGCTGGTCTGGGCCACCTTGCCCTCTCTGCAGGCTCCTTGGGGCTTCTCCAGAGCACAAATAGACAGATGGTTTTTACAACACATTCCATGGGTCTGGGCTATCTGGTGAGGCAAACCAGATGGCAAGTTTTGAAAACATCCTTTTCCCTTCCCCATGTGTTTTCCACCTTCCAAGTTTCCTGTGCTGCCTAACTTCCCAAATGTCCCACACAGAAATCACATACATGGTCAGGCAAAGAGGGAGGGCATGATGGCTGTATTTTGGTATTGTTGTTTCCTGGAAATGACTTCCTGTGCATTGGAGGAAACTTCAGGATTGCTTAGATACTCTAGAGACCAGAACCTGCTGGTTCATTGACAGAACATCAAGGTGGTTCTGAGTAGACACAGCAAGACACACAGCTGTGACTTCTACCTAACCCATTTCATCCCAGTAACAATGAAGATTTTTTTTCCCCTTCCCATTCTCCTTGACTGTTCACTCTTTCCTTTGTCTTTTTCTGCACCATTTAGGACATGTGGACCATGGCTATATCTACTGTGCTGCTACACTCAGGATTTCAAGTACTGGGAAAACTGTCTTGTTTCTAGCTTCCTTGTCATCTCTTTCCCTTTGTACATCTGCTGGTAAAACAACCTGGCAATAGATGAAACTTTAAATACATTAGGCATTCATTTACATTTGAAGAGGGAAATAAAATATGCATGACTCACCATAATTCAGATTCATAGACTGTTTCCAGATTACATTTCTGCAATCAAAATTTAACTTTTAAAAACAGTTTTAATGACTGTAGGTGGTGGTAATTTCCCCCCTTTTTTAAGGTTTAAATGGTGGAGTTCTCAGGGCATTCAATGAGCAATTCCTCATTTGACAGAGGTGATCTCTGGATTTCATGATTTCTTTTCAGAGTCTTCGGGTCTGGCAAACTGTGAGAGTCATCAGTCCCTCTAACCTTGGGTGGGGTTGCACAGACTGAGCCTTGGTTGGAATTGGTCCCAGTGTTTTTTATGTTCTTGAACTCAGCTCAGTCATAGCCTGTCTCTTATCTCATTTTCAATGGCTTCTTTTCTCAAACTGCTTACAGGTGTCTGTTCCCTTGGCATGCAGAGTGCATTTACTGATTTTAAATTGCCCAAAACAACCTTGGCACTTACCACTTGAAGCTGCAGCTCCTATAACCCCCTTATGTTTCATCTTTCATTATTTTGATGTTTACATTATTTAGTGCTGTTCCATATTACCCAATTGTAAATTACCAGAACGGAATGGCAGTGGAGTGGAACCACTGATCCTCTGTCAATAGTTCAGACTCATCTTAAAATCATTGGTGTAAAGAGCACAAACTTTATGCTGAAAGGAGGTTTCTTCAGACTGTATCCTTATCTTTCTCAGTGCAATGCAGGATTTCTGCATGTATGGGAAGGGTTGTGATTGCACATGTGAAGATTGCACTAGTGCAGATCTTGGGAGTCCTTTGAGAGAAGCAGTAGTGAAGCTTTTAGGTAGTGAAAACTTGGAGGGAGATGAAACTGGTGAAGGAGTGATTTGTTAATAAAAAATGCCAGAAGATTAGGAAAATAATTGTCTTCTGAAAACACTTGGGGAACGGCCACTGTGCTGTGTCTGTTTCCTTTGGCCACTTGCACTTAATGAATGCCCTTAGAATAGCAGTTCTGCTACTGAACTGAGCTGTGTGCCATGCTGGTGAGTTTTAGAATGAAAATGCTAATGCATGATTTCTGTGTCAAGCCAGCACAGCTACATTACCTGGCTGAGCTGCACAGTGCACCTGTGGAATAGAGACTGCATCTCTCCAAGATGCTGTGCTGCTCACCCTGACCCCTCTGCTTTACTGAGATGGTTCCAGCTCCTTCTCCTGGAAGGGGAATTATCTTGTGTGCTGCTTCTGTGATGCTAGAGAAGAGGGAGGAAAATCTCCCCGTGCTCAGCTGCTGACCAACAACCAGGCTGCAGCAGTATTATTAGTCATGGGTGTCCCTGAGCTGAATGTACCAGCTGAACTGGGACTCCAGGGTGGTGACAGAGACAGTCTCTCAAGGCAATTTTATAGCAATCATTTCCTCAATAACGTAAATGTGGCAATTTTGGAGTTCATATTTTCTTTTAGAAGCTTATACCATATTTGTGGCTTCCTTTCTTAATTCTGCTAAGGCCTAACTGAGCAGGGATATGGAAGAGGACATGTAAAGAGGCTAAATCAGAAGTGTCAGCCTAAGACATGTGGGACAGTCTGACTTGGAAGTCAAACTATTTTTCTTTTCCTGGCTTTTGTGTTCTGGTGTTCTCAGCAGCCACCAAAGGCTGATCTTTCATGCTGGAGCTGGACTCTATTCTGAACTT